CTACCACGTATGCTCGAATAAGTCATGATAATTTCAGCCCAGGGTTGAAACGATTACATGACAAAATTTTCAACCCAGGGCTGAGTTCAACCCCGGGGTTGAACTCAGCCCTGGGTTAAAAATTTTGTCATGTAATCGCGCGTTTGATTTTGATAGAGTTTTGTATTACAGACAGGGCTGAAATTTCAACCCTGCTAGCTGAAGCAGGGTTGAAATTTCAACCCCGGGGTTGAAAATGCTCCATGTAATCGGCCCCTAATTGTTCCCTTTACTTGTTCTCAATAAAATAAGGCAAGGGAATTCGATGCACAATAATAGACTTTAATAGACCTCATTATCTCTGTTCTTATGCAAGAAATGGTCGGTTCATTGTCAAGTGTGTATTGTAATATTTTATTTTTGCTAGAGCAACCAATAGCTATGTTTTCATTTAACCATTGTGTAATATCGACGACTGGGTAACTAAACCAGCACACTTCACAGACTTCACAGAACACACTTCACAGAACCAATCAAGAGAATCTTAAGTAATTGTAATATTAAGGTTGCCTTAAAACCCTATTTGACTTTAGGCCATATTTTCGCAAAGCCAAAAGATCCTGTTGAAAAAAATCAGAAGACTCACGCTATATATTCTATACCATGCGGTGACTGCGATAAAGAGTATTTGGGTCAGTCTAAACGCCAGTTTGGTACACGGCTAAAAGAACATCAAAAGGCTGTTTCAACTTTAGACCAGGGAAAATCAGCTTTAGCCGAACATGTATGTTACACCAAACACGAGATTGCGTGGGAAAACTCTAAAGTAATTACCACAAACAATCGTTACGGTCAAAGACTTTGCCTAGAAGCGTGGCATATAAATATGAGTCATCATGCTTTGAATAGGGATGACGGCGCCTATTTGCCAGAAGAATATATGCATCTTCTTGGCAGGTGACGTCATCCCTTGGGTATTTAAGAAGCCTCGATCGCAGTTTCAGATCACCCCTGATGAAGACACTAGACTGGAGTGTCGAAACGTTGAGTCTTGATTACAATTCGACTGGGCTTTGTAATCATTTATTTAAACCAGAGTAGCGAGCGAAACATGATTGATATACCTGGTTGCAGTGAACGAACAAACTTTATAACTATATATCGTGTATTCTATTGAAGTTAAAACATAGTTGGAAACTTGGAACGCTCATCAAACCTTTACCTTATTAATCTAGAGCTTGAAATCTCCCCTGTAGCAATCATGCCAACTCTTATTCAACTCTCCTCGTTTGACCGGGCACTGTAGTAGTGACTCGCAGGCTGGACGAAGAGGAGGCGCAGGCAGGCAGGTTAGAAGCGATCAAGTGTGCGAGTATAGCCCGCGACTAGCCCGCCATCGAGTTATTTAAAGGCCTGTTTACACTTGCAATTTTTGCTGCGATTTCTAGTGCGATCTTCTTCTTCTGAAGGATGTGAACGAGTAGATGAGTTAGGAATGTTTTGAGTATGTCTACCCTCATCTCAACATTCATAATACATTTACTCGTTCACATCCATCAGAAGGAGAAAATCGCACTAGAAATCGCAGCAAAAATTGCAAGTGTAAACCGATTTTAAGAAAACAAAGCTTCTAAGGAAGAGAGTGGATTTGAAACTCAGTCTCAAAGGTGAAAGACACACACTAAACCATGCCTGTACCACTCCTAATTGTTGAAAAGACAAATAGTCTCGAAAAAATAAACACTCGTATGTTGATTAGAATACAAACTATAACCATGCAAGTAACAATTTCTTTTTGAAGTAGAAATTACCATGGACTATATAATCATTTGTGATATAATTGTTTAGCTTTGTGAAAACATCATATTTATTTATCTCGAAATGCTTTTGAACCGTAAGCTGAGATCTTCATCAGTGGGCAGTCACAAGGCAAATGATAGAGAGGTTGAGATTTGACTGCAGTTACCTCTCACTTGCTCTGTGTCCATCTGATTGGTTAATCAGGTAGATTAAGTGCATCGGATATTCGGATTGGTCAGTCGGGTAGATTAAGCGCATCTGATATGTCAATCGGGTATAGATCAGGCGCAATCTGATTGGTTAATGGTCCCTTGATGGTAGTGGTAGTGGAAGTCAAATCTGAATCTGTACTATAGCGCGAATCTGCGCTTGAAACAGATGGTATTTTTGCCTGTGGGAAAAGTGCTTTTTTATATGTAAACCTGGATTAGCTACTTTGAACAAATCGCACGGATTATTTTTTTCGCGCAGACGTGCCAAAATTTCTCATAAATAACATTTAAGAGCGGTTGTCTGTAATAGTCAGGTAAGACGTGTAAAATGAGAAATTTCAAAATCCTTCAAACTTTGTCAGAATATAGGCCTATATGAAGTATTAATGTTGTGAAAGTTTTATTTCGATCGGATAAATATTGAAGGAGAGAGACGTCGAAATTGGTTTTCCCAGGCCACGTTCGATTTTTAGAGGTCATTTTACGGCACTACCAAAATCGCTCTATTTTGCGCGTTAATGGGAATATTTCACAAAACATGATTTCGTTTTATAAATTAGAGATATTTATTGACTAGCAGACGAAATTTAGAGACATTTCTGTAAAAAGTGAATATTTTACAGATTTTCTTAATGTTTATTATTTTCGAACCTCTTTATTATATGCCATATTAGGCAGCGATTATCTCCATTGTTACATCGATTCAGACTAAAAATTCATAACCAGATCAAAGAAATATGTTTGCGCTTGCTATTGATGAAATAAAATTTTGGGGCAACTTAGAATTGAATTTTTGACGAATTTTTTTGTAACCCCTATTTGACCGGAATAACCGTATGTTAATATAATCAGCGTCGAGACATGTAGTTCAATAAATAACCAAAGAGCTCGTCAAAAGCGTTTATTTCTTCGAGTAAGCAAGCCTAGGCCTATAAAACTATCTTAGCTAAAGCTGTACGATTGGCTGAAAGCATTTAGGTCTAAATCACACTGTTTACAGTCGCTTATCGTTCAGCTAATGCCCGATAGCCGGTGCCGCTGATTTGGCAGATTTGGTTTCAATTATAATAATATTTTATCAGGGAATGCCGCGATAAGTATAGCGAGTATATTTTCTCTCCCCCTCCCATAAACTCGTGTTCTCACATAAATAGTGCACATGCTTTTTGTAAAAAACATAGGCCATTTGCAAGGTCATACGATGGAAACGTCGCATTGTTTTGACGGTTCTTTTAGTCGTATTTCCGGTTGGGTTAGCTCACGCGATTGTCTGAACAAAAATATAGACTAGCCATATCTTTCGCCAAACTTCAAACATATCGTCTTTGTAATAGTCTTGTTCGAATCCCCATCAAAAACACTATTTAGAGTGTTATTTGCAAGCCTGTATCTTCAAATTTGCATTTTTTTTCCACGGTATTTCCATTTCTTGTCCGGCTGTGAGCTCGACTGCTCGAGGCTCGAAGTAATTTGATAGTATACGATCGCATTTGACTTTCAAACTCCCATAAATCACTACATTGTTAATAATGACTATAACTATCGTTCGGAATTAGTTGATCTTTTATTTCTGAATCGAATGGTGGTATTTCTGTCTTCATAGCATGTACTGAACCGAAGATATGAGATTTCTAGCCGTCAACCTCTCGAGGACGACCTCGCACTAAAGTAAAGAGTTTTAATTTTAATAATTAATATTAAAGCTGGATTCTTTCACCGTGATGTCATGCCAAAAGGTGTCTTTTCTATTTTTAAAAAAGATCCCGACTCTATTGATTTGTGATATGGTAATATTAATTACAGTTGTATATTTGATTATTTTGTTAGTGCTCAATAAGTTTGAATTTGTTCTGAGAAAACAGTCAAACTTCAGACCAAACTTCTACGCAGTTACTTATTTAGTAGTTTTATGATTAACTGCCCATCACTTTTAAAACAGCAAGAAGATAAAGACAACGTGTACGGGTGAGTTATCCATGAAATACTGTAAATAGTTGGTTTACAAAAAGAATTCCGTCTTTGTGGATAAAAATTAGTTATAAATAATCTCTCCTGTATGTGTTAAATGCTACAAGTAGGGATTTCCCCCGGTATATTCCTTCTCTTTTGTATGGCTGTTTGTTTGTGATTACTCGCTCTTGTCACTGGGTCATGTGGTGCCAGCAACTCTAATCCAGCCGATTCAGAATGCGTTCTTCTTAATGATTGTGATAAAAGAAATCAAGGGACACTGAGGTCGCACGACGTTTGCTAGGATTCCAGTTTGAGAACAGAGTCTTGTCTTCCACCTGCACCAGCCGATTAGTTCATTATTTTCTATCTGACATACTTTTGATCCAATTTCAGTTAAATTTATCCAACCATTTCTGGATGATACACTTACAACACAGGCAGTACTCAGGCCAAAGAAAAGTCAAGAAAGGCAGGCCAACTTTCCCAGAGGGGGGCCCGGAATGGTGGAATTGTGCAACGTGTTAAATATTAAGTAATATTCTGAAAATTGAGGTCGAAAAAGGTCTGAAAAGTATTTTGACGCAAAATTAATTTATCGCAAAATTAATTTATATAATTTTATCGCAATATTATTTTATCGCAAAATTAATTTATATAATTAGGCTGAGTTCCTTATCAGCATTTTGAAATACCCTGTTACAAATAGAGTATTACTGCCAGGACGTGCCAAGTGATATCTGGGTGGGGGTTGGGTGGATGGTGAACTTAAAAAATTCGGCCACCTTCTTTGCGGGGGCCCCCTCAAAAAGTTTTCTGGTAAGCAAAAATTTTACAGTAAAATGTAAAGGGTGGGAGGGGGGGGCGACGTTTTTTGAGAAAAACGTTCCAAAAATTATTTTTGCGATAATATGGGGGGTTCAAAATACTTTTCAGACCTTTTTCGACCTCAATTTCAGAACACGTTGCGCAATTCCAGCATTCCGGGGCCCCCTCTGGGAAAGTTGGGCCCCCTTTCAAGTTGACTTTTTTGGCCTGAGTGTTCTAGATGTATCATCCAGAAATGGTTGGATAAATGTAAGTGAAATTGGACCAAAAGTATATGTCAGGTAACGCGTAACCACAAACAGCCATACAAAAGAGAAGAAATATACCGGGGGAAATCCCTACATGTAGCTTAACACATACAGGAGAAATTATTTATAACTCATTAATTTTATCCACGAAGACGGAATTCATTTTGTAAACCAACTATTTATTTCATGGATAACTCACGTACACGTTGTCTTTATCTTCTTGCTGTTTTAAAAGTGATGGGCAGTTAAACTACTAAATAAGTTATGTAACAGTGCGTAGAAGTTTGGTCTGAAGTTTGACCAAAGTTATTGAGCAACAACAAAATAATCAAATATTTATGCAACTGTAATAAATATTACCAAATCATAAATCAACAGAGGGTCTTTTTTAAAAATAGAAAAGACACCTTTTGGCATGACATCACGGTGAAAGAATCCAGCATTAATATTAATTAAATTAATTACTGTAAGTAAACGAATTACAATTTCAACGTAAACTGACCGATGTTTTTGACAAAAAGCGCGTGCACTATTTATGTTCGAAAAGTTATAAATAAGCACGACGAGACGTGAAAGAACACATGTTTATGGGAAGGGGAGGGAAAATATACTTGCTATACTTATCGCGGCATATCCCTGATAAATTCAATTCAATTCATAAAATATAATTAAAACCAAATCCACCAAATCAGCGGCGCCGGCTATGGCAATATATTATAGGCATTACCTGAACAATAAGCGACTGTAAACAGTGTGATTTAGACCTAAATGCTTTCTGCCAATCGTACAGCTTTAGCTAAGTTAGTTTTATAGGCCTAAACTTGTTTACTTGAAGAAATAAACGCTTTTGACGAGCTCTTTGGTTATTTATAGAACCACATGACTCGACGTAGATTACATAACATACGGTTATTCGGGTCAAATAGGGGTTACGAAAAAATTCGTCAAAAATTCAATTTTAAGTTGCCCCAAAATTTTATTTGATCAATAGCAAGCGAAAACATATTTCTTTGACCTGTTTATGAACTTTTTGTCTGAATCGATGTAACAATGGAGATATTTGCTGCCTAATATGGCATATAATAAAGAGGTTCAAAAATAAAAAACATTAAGAAAATCTGTAAAATATTCACTTTTAACAGAAATGTCTCTAAATTTCGTCTGCTACTCAATAAAGAACTCTAATTTATAAAACGAAATCATATTTTGTGAAATATTCCCATTATCGGGCAAAATAGAGCGATTTTGGTAGTGCCGTAAAATGACCTCTAAAAACCGAAAGTGGCCTGGGAAAACCAATTTCGACGTCTCTCTCCTTCAATATTTATCCAATCGAAATAAAACTTTCACAATATTAATACTTCATATAGGTCTACATTCTGACAAAGTTTGAAAGATTTTGAATTTTTTCATTTTACACGTCTTACCTGACTATTACAGACAACCGCTCTTAAAGGTCAGTGGACCAGACACATACTTAACTTAAATATTCCGTGCATGAAAAAAGTTTTAAAAATGTATGGTATAAAAATTATATGCTGGAATCTTTTATTCATTTTTATTAACTAAAATTCCACGTATGCTCCGAATAGCTTGATGTCAGCCTCATTTCCAGGGTCTCTCCTCTTGTATAGGTTTTATTTTGATGTACTTGCTCACATTTTACGTACATGTGCAAGCCAATCAAATGAATAAATTTTTAAAAAAAATATTAAACAGTATATAGAGAAAGTTAGTAGAGAGTTCTCTACTATAGTGTGAATGTGTGATGAAGTTACTTTACTGAAATCATCAGAGATTGCTTACTCAGATAAACACAATCTTAAACTGTATGGACATGAAATTTTATTCAACGATGTCTAGATTACAACAATTTAGCGCTTATAGTAAAGCAGTTCTTTAATATATATACTTTAAAATCTCAATAACGTTTTGAGGTATATGTCAAATATTCTACATATTACACAAGTATATGTCTAAATCACTACAGCTGTAGCCAGGTATCTTTCTTCCTTCATGTCAGGAAGTTCTTGCCATGAAAATCGCTCAAAATTGAAACCTTCAACTGATTTCAAATTTTTCCCTCTCTCATCCGCGCCTCCTAGTACTACAATTGTATTCTCAATAACAACTGCCATGCATTCTTTCCTCTTGTGTAACATGGGAGGCTACATATGACTTTCTCCAGTCTTGATGTCATAAATTATAACATTGTTTAATGGTTCACCATCCTTGTCAGCCCCACCAATGATCACGACATTCTCAGCCTACTTCACTGTCGCCATTTCACTCACTGGATAGGGAAGCGCAGGTAACTGTTGACATTCATTCTTCTTGATGTTATAGCTTAACACACTGCTGAGGTTGTCTTCGCAGTCCCATGATTTCTTTCCCCCAACGATCAAAATACTATCATCACACAGTACTGTGCTGTGACGAACTCTTGGTTCAAGCATCTTGAATACCTGTTTAACAGTGTGAGGTGGTTTAAGTTGAACTTCGTGAATACAGTCGGAGTAGACACCTTGATCTGCGTTATAACCTCCAGTAACCAACAAGCTATCCTTGTACACCACACTGCTGTGTGCATGCATCTTTGCAGGGAGTTTGGCAGCAAAATCACTCCAGAAAATTGCGAGATCAGGGACTGGGGGAATGTTCATTCGGATCATGTTATCTACAGCAGCACGATACCAACCTCCCGCTACAGTCACATGATTATTGTAAACAAATGAAGATGCGCCGCAACGATTCCCTGGCATGAGCTTTAATAAAGACCACAATCTCTGACGGTTGTTAAATATTTCTACCGAGTTTGTCCCCACACCACCAGCAACAAATATATGTTGATTTTCTCTCCCGCCACTCGCTGTGCCACTTACATCTCTTGTGATTTCGTCGTGCTTTCTTTTTTTGCTCTCTATCTTTTCAAGTACTGCTTCTTCCCAATGATCAAAGCCATCTTTTACTTCATTTAAACTCATTTTCATTCCTCTCACTTCATTATTGATCGCTTCGAACTTCGCTTCCACGTTCGCGTGCAAGTTCTCTATTTTCGTGTTCATGTTTTCCTGTTTCGTGTTCATATTTTCAAGTTTCGTGTCGATCTTTGCTATTTTTGTGTCCATACTGTTCAGTTCCGTGTGTGCCATTTCCGTGTGTGCCATTTCCGTCGTATAAAGAGCCATATAGATACAAGTATATAAACTGTTTTAATTCTCGTATATTTGTATTAGTATTTTGTTGACATTTTTAACTGAAAGAACCGTTCCAAACAACAGGTGCATGTTGCTACATACCTGCCAAGTCTCGCATTATGCGTGAGATACACGCGTCTCATTATTATCTGAGTGTGATTTTGCTGTCAACGCGTCATTTAAGTTCAGCCATATTTGCTTTGCATGAACGCTGTCTAATTAGCCTTCCTCACGCGGCCATTTTTGGATGGCTTTTCAGCCGAAGTCTGCGAGATAAGTCCACATAACGGCGACTTTTTATAATTTTTTGGACTGATTATGGTAAATTTACTTTGTAAATTGTTAGTTTATATTTAAAAGTTGCTTTTCACATTGTTTTAATTGTCTGAATTGGTTAACGAGAATTGACCACTTGCGTAATAGACAAAATTTTGATCTCAACATGTCTAAACAACAAGTTCATTACAGCTTGAAAGAGCATCACAAAATTAGTAATATTCCAAAGTTTCGTTGCGAAATGTTGTAAATTGCGGATAATATAACCTTGCGAAGTTTGCCGTTTTTCAGTCATTTTGTATTACAAACGGGAAATTGACAGACCCAAAGGGTATTGGTCTGTCAATTTCCCCCGCGTAATGCAAAATGACTGAAAAACGGCAAACTTCGCAAGGCTATATTATCCGCATTTTACAACATTTCGCAACGAAACTTTGGAATATTACTAATTTTGTGATTCTCTTTCAAGCTGTGATGAAATTGTTGTCTAGACTTGTTGAGATCAAAATTTTGTCTATTATTCAAGTGGTCAATTAGATGCCACCCAAAAATGGCGGATATTCGTCATCGTGAGAAAAGCTAATCCACAACCACTGAACTATATAACATGGAAGGCTGAGTCGAGCTCAAAAAGTGAAGCCAAACATGGCGGAAATTGAAGGCATTCTTGCGCGTCATTCTCAGTCCCCTTACGTGCGCGGTCAACAAAACTTTTATATTTTTCTTTACTTTCTGAGTAAAAATCTGGCTGAAAACAGACGAAATTTGAATGAAAAGTTGAATTCTGGTGTTTTGTTTGGGTTCGGTTCTAAATTTTAATTATTATTTATTTAAAAGATGCGATATTTGAGTGAAAAGAAAGCAAAATAGCGCGGGATTGTTGTTTTTGTATTATGACAAAGAGTGACAAAACAAAACACAAATGTCATTCAATCTTTCAAAATATCTGTATTGCCCCTATTGACAAGGGTTTCACACACATAAATAACACATTAAAATAAACAGTTTAAGTTTATAAGGCAATCATCAAAGTGATTTTATTAAAATAAAAATAAAAAAACAAAATTTTCTTACATGTATGAAATTAAATTGGCTAAAAACTGCCTCGAAAACTGCAGTTAAAAAGCAGTTTTAGGTCAGGAAAACGGACTCAAATAAGCTAAATAATGGTGTGAAAACTGAAAATCACCATAAAAACAAGAAAGCGAAACAACCAAAGCAAAAATATATTCCCAATTTATAAAAATACAGATTTATTAAAAAAAAAAAAAAAAAAAAAAAAAGTTTGAAATTAGTTGCTGAACGAAAAATACAGGACTTACCTACACGTACAGTGGGAAAATGCAGTAGACAGATCGATTAGATGAAGGAAATCAGGCTTTACATGAAATAAAATGAATGAATGTATATAGTTCTGCTGATCATACCCCTACAATGACCTATTATTTTAGTCAGAGATCTTTGTTGGCATCTCACGCGATTGAATAATAGTTGAGAAGGGTCTCTAGATGGAAAATATCGAGTGAAATTTATATACATTTATTGGACCTAACCAGGAACAAAAGCGAAAAATGCAAATTATCCACTCGATAAAATCCATCCACAAGACCCTTCTAATATTTTAATCAGGCCAGTTAGCTTAATCCTGGGTCAACGAAAAATTTCCAAACAAACTTCTCAATAGCTTAGTTGTATTGAAACTAGGAAATTTGTTTTCCCGTAATCCTGGCCTGGATCAATTTTCTCTTGCAATGTTGTTTTGTATATTGTATTTGTATATGCCTCGTGTCTACTGTTAAAATTAAAATCTTGTCTTATGATAAATGTGTTCTCACTTCTCAGAAGGCCTCAGAACGTTGAAAATGCCATTTCAGAAGCCCAAATTAAAAACCCCAACATTTCAGAGGGGTGTGGTCATGCCCCTGGATCCCTCCAAAGAGTGTAGCGTCTCACGCCATCACTACCTCGTAAGTCATTTTATTGCCACGTATGTTTGAGCCTCTTGTCCGGGCGAGAATGTGTCGGGAACTAATAGAGAAAATATCCAAAATTTTGTGACTACGGGACATGAACTCGGCTTAGTGCAGGGTTTCTGGTTGTATAGGTAGAAATAAACCATTTGTGGTAAAAAATCAACACTGCTTTGTCAACTTAAAGATTGAAATTTGTATATATTGCGAACCGAGCTGACGCTCAACCCACCTTGCCTTATGCTGCTAATGACGGCGATGAAATAAAGTGGAAATACTGTGCCATCACCAGGATGATGTTTAATTAGGCTTGTGAAACTCATTAATAATTCATGAAAAAAAACACAAAAGAAATCATGAGCGTGAAGGAGTTTGTATATCTGATACAGAATTATGCTGATTTAATAAACTTTAAGTTCAATTTTCTCACCAAATATTTAGAAATTAAATTTATTTAGCTTTGCCAACTAGGGCAGGGTCACCACAACAGCATATGCCAATTACTGTGGGCCCTTTCACCTAACCCACCCTGTCAACTTTCCCTGTGGGAGGAAACCCACCCTGTCAACTTTCCCTGTGGGAGGAAACCCACCCTGTCAACTTTCCCTGTGGGAGGAAACCGGAGCGCCCGGAGAAAACCCACGACTTTCGGCAGAGCGTTGACTTTTACTCTTTTCACATGAGGACTGGGTTCGAGTCGCATTGGAAAAGTATTCACTGGGGCTTGAACCTGCGACCTCAGAGCTGAGAGACAATTTCGCTAACCACTTGGCCACCGAAGCCCCAATAACAAATATCATTCATTTAGTTTAAATTGTCGAAGAATACGAATGTGGAATGGGTTCAGATTTGACTTCCACTACCTCTCACTTGCTTTGTGTGCATCTCATTGGTCAATCGGGTAAATTAAGCGCATCTCATTGGTCAGTCGGTTAGATCAAGCGCATCTGATTGGTTAACGGTCCCTTAATGGTAGCGTTGGCGGAATTCAAATCTGAACCTCTCTGACATAGAGCGAACCTGCGCTTTGAACAGGTGGTATTTTTCCCCTTGGGAAAAATACTTTATTACATGTAAACCTGAATTAGCTACTTTGAGCAAACGCAACGAATTAGTTTCTTCCTGTACATGTGCGAAAAGTCTTTTAAATAGCATTTGTAAAATTCATGATTAATTAATAAGGCCACAAACAAATCACGATGCGGTGTTTAGGTCACATATGCACACTTGTAAATCGCATTAAAGATCAGAAAGTCATGTTAGAGGGATGTTTCTGAAAATTAACAATACTAATTGAGAAGCATAGATGTTTATGAAAGTTAACAATATTAATTTAAGTTTTAATAGCATGCTAATGAAGCGTGAGATTGTCCCCATGGGCAGTGAATGCTAATAAAGTAAACAAATAAATTCATTTTACAAGTACGTTAAAATATTCGCAACTGATCTTTATGGGCATTTAACAATGGCTCGCGCTGCGCGCTCGCCATTGTAAATGCCCATAAAGATCAGCTGCTCATATTTTAACTATAGTACTTAAAGGCCACCAGTCACATCCTATTTTAAACATACCGCGTATGAAAAATTTAAAAAGTGTATAAAAATTATTTGCTGGAACCTTTCATTCATTTTAAAGTAAAATACCACGTATATGCTCAATACCTTGATGTCAGCCTCATTCCCACGCTTTCTCCTTTTGTGGAGGTCTTATTTTGATATACTTGCTAAATTTATTATTTTGATCAATTTACGTACATGTGCAACACAATCAATTGAAAATACATCCAAGTCTTGTTACACATTGCAAACTTTCACATTTCGAACGAACGCTTTTTGTCAGAAAGTTAGTATAGAGAGTTCTCTACTATAGCAAGATGAAGTTTTTTTACTGAAACCCAGCATCGGAGATCGCTTATTCAGATAAACACAATCTTAAACTGTATATGTGCACATGAAATTTTATTCAATAATATCTAGATTACAACATTGTAGCGCTTATTATAGTGAGGCAGTTTTTTTTTAAGTTTTAAGGTATATGTCAAATATTCTACATAGTATATACAAGCATGTCTAGATCACAACGCCCGTAGGCAGGTATCTGTCTTCCTTCATGTCAGGAAGTTCCTGCCATGAAAATCGCTCAAAATTGAAACCTTCAACTGATTTCAAACCATGCCCTCTCTCGTCCCTTCCTCCTAGTACTACAATTGTATTCTCAATAACAACTGCCATACCTCCTCTCCTCTTGTGTAACATGGAAGGCAACATATGACTGTTTCCAGTCTTGATGTTATAAATTATAACATTGGCTAATACTTCACCATCCTTGTCAACCCCACCAATGATCACGACATTCTCAGCCCACTCGACTGTCGCCATGTTACTCACTGGATAGGGAAGCGCAGGTAACTGTTGACATTCATTCTTCTTGATGTCATAGCTTAACACACTGCTGAGGTTGTCTTTGGAGTACCATGATTTCTTTCCCCCAACGATCACAATACTAGCATCACATAGTACTGTGCTGTGATGAACTCTTGGTTCAGGCATCTTGGATACTAGTTTAACAGTATAAGGCGGTTTAAGTTGAACTTCGTGAATACAGTCAGAGAAGGAAAATTGATTTGCATGATAACCTCCAGTAACCAACAAGCTATCCTTGTACACCACACTGCTGTGTGCTTGCATTTTGGCAGGAAGTTTGGCTGCAAAATCACTCCAGTT